TGAACATTGTCACATAGTTAACATACTACCAGACATATGAGGAAATTTAAATACTGACTGGGCAATGAATAATATAAAAATTACTGTTAATTTAATACCAGTTTGATAATGGTATAGTTGTTTGAAGGACTCATTTTTTAGGCACTATGATTTTGTTTTTATTGAGCTATATATTTTTCTCTGTTCCCCTCCCTTCCTCTCCACTTCTTTTCAACTGTCTCCCATGCTCCCAATTTACTCAGGAGATCTTGTCTTTTCCTACTTCCCATGTAGATTAGATCCTTGTATGTCTCTCTTAGGGTCCTCATTGTTGTCTGCATTCTCTGGGATTGTGAATTGTAGGATGGGTTTTCTTTGCTTTATGTCTAAAAGCCACTTATGAGTGAGTACATATTATATTTATCTTTCTGAGTCTGGGTTACCTCACTCAATATGATGTTTCTAGATCCATCTATTTGCCTGCAAAATTCAAGATGTCATTATTTCCCCTCCCCCCCGTGCTGTGTAGTACTCCATTGTGTAAATATACCACATTTTTTAAAAAATATTTATTTATTATATATACACAATATTCTGTCTGTGTGTCTGCCTGCAGGCCAGAAGAGGGCACCAGATCTCATTACAGATGGGTGTGAGCCACCATGTGGTTGCTGGGAACTCAGGACCTCCAGAAGAGCAGTCAGTGCTCTTAACCTCTGAGCCATCTCTCCAACCCCCACATTTTCTTTATCCATTCTTTGGTCAAGGGGCATTTAAGTTGTTTCCAGGTACTGGCTATTACAATAATGCTGCTATGAACATAACTGAGCACATGTCCTTGTGGTATGATTGAACATTCTTTGGGTATATACCCAAAAGTGGTGTTACTGGGTCTTGAGGTAGGTTTTTTCCCTAATTTTCTGAGAAATCATCTTAGTGATACCCAAAGTGATTACCAGTTTGCGCTCCCACCAGCAATGGAGGAGTGTTCCCTTTCCCCACATTCTCTCCAGCATAAATTGTCATCAGTGTTTTTGACCTTGGCTATTCTTACAGGTGTAAGATGAAATCTCAGAATTGTTTTGATTTGCATTTCTCTGATGACTAAGGATGTTGAGCATTTAAGTGTCTTTCAGCCATTTTAGATTCCTCTGTTGAGAGTTCTCTGTTTAGGTCTGTACTTTTTTTTTTTTATTATTGGTTTATTTGTTCTTCTGATGACCAATTTCTTGAGTTCTTTGAATATTTTGGAGGTCAGCCCTCTGTCTGATGTGGGGTTGGTGAAGATCTTTCCCACTCTGTAGGCTGCCATTTTGTTTTGTTGACCGTGTCCTTTGCTTTCCAGCTTTTCGGTTTCTGGAGGTCCTGTTTGTTAATTGTTGCTCTCAGTGTCTGTGCACTGGGGTTGTATTCAGGTAGAGGTCTCCTGTAGGCACTACAATTTAGACATATAATCTGAGGCTTACGGATAAAGTGATAGGGTGTTGTAAAACAAGTGAGCCTACAGACTAAACAACTTTTCTCTATGTTTATATATGATGGGAATGTTCCATAGTAAACAGGGAGTTGGGACTGTGGTTGGCTCGGTGAGTAATGGGCTTGCTGCTGCATAAGCCTGAGGACCTGAATTCTAACCACTATCACCCAAGTCAAAGCACATGTGATGCTGCATGTTTCTAACTCTAGTGCTGGCGGATGGAGACGGGCTTGCTGAAGATGAAGACAGACTGACTGTTCTTCCAGAGGACCTGGGTTCACAATCATCTCTAACTCCAGAGGATCTAATATCCTCTTCCTACTTCCTTGGGCACTGCACACATGTGGTGTACTTATTTATATACATATAAGCAAGACACTAATACACATAAAGTAAAAATAAATAAAATAAAAGTCTTTTAAAAAGTAGGGTGGAGAAGCCATAGAGGAGGATGCTCCAACCAATTGATCATTCAAAGGTAAAAGTAAAATAGAGCAGAATTCCCTGGTTGATGTAGTTAGAGGTACACAGAGGAAAAATCTTCAGAGTATCATGTCCAGAATGCATAGCCCAAGTGAGGGTTTTCTTGTCCTGTTTATTCTTTGTCTACCAAAATGCAATACTATAATCCTTTATTTACAGTGTTAGTAAGTTAGGTCATAGCTCCCTGCAGGACTCAGTAATATAGGCATACTGGATATCCACTTAGCAGTGGCCAGCATCCAAGAGACCCAGGACATCCCAGGACTCCTGTCCTTGGGGACTCCTGCCTCCTCTGTTCTAATAGTGTGTCATCAGTAAAATAATACATGGCATGCTGCTTCTGAGAATAATCTGCAGCCACAGCAGCTTTCATCTTGGTCTTCTCCCTCCAAGGGAAACCGGCTGGTGTGTCCCCAGCACCCCAAGAAGGCCACAGAACTAGGATTCAAATTCTGCCAGCAGCCCATGAGCATGCTTGTTCAAATCTAAAGCAAACTTTTTTCTTAAAGGGCTAGATAGTACTCAATTGTTCTGTTAATACAATATTAAAAAAAATTATTGACTCAGTGTGTAAAGTGCTTGCTGTTCAAACCCAGCATCTGTGTGAAAACTGGATGTAGTGGTGTGCCTGGTACTACAGCACTCAGTAGAGACAGGAGTCTGAGACTTACTGGCCTGTCAAGAGGAAAATGATCTTCAGGTGGAGTAAGACTCCACCTATTTTGAAGGTGGGGAAGCAACTGAGGAAGACATCAACCTGTGGCCTCCACAGCGCGCGCGCGCACACACACACACACACACTCTGAGAGCTGGCAATTGCAGCCCCACAGCATCCCCCACTGAGGGTCATACACTGAAGGCTCTGTCCCCACCAGAAACATTGCTCAGAGAAGGCTTGGCTGCAATGTCCTGAGTGGAGGAAACGGCTGGATCATGAGGGCTTTGCTTTCATCAGAGGATTAATCCACTGGCAGATTCTGAATTGACTACTGAGAAATGGAGAAAACTGTGGAAGGTAGGTTCTAGCTGAAGTAAGCAACTCACTGGGGTGTCTTTGCTGGGCGGGCACCTTGCTCTGTTGCTTTCCTCTCAGCCGCTGGCCTTTCTGAGATGAAGAGCTTTTGCTCCAGCATATACTACTATCACCATGCTCTGCATCTGCACAGCCGAGGTGGACTCCAGTGACCTGAAGCCTCTGCCACCTTTCTTCCTTCAAGATGTTTTAGTATTTTGTCATAGTAATGACGCCTGACCACACAGGACGAAGGCTTAGCTGAACCTCACACACAGCCAGGCTGCTTCAGTTCAGTCTCACCAACTGTGAAATGGAATTGTTACCTTAGTACAGCACTTCTCAAGTTTTCTCCACACCAGGCAGGCTTCTATTGCCGTCAGAAAGGTTTCAATGAAGGAGGCAAGGGCATTCTGAATCAGGGCTTTGGCTGTTCTCTTCTTCCCCAGATGGCTACTTGATTGGATGCAGCATCTCCATTAGGACTATATTGTAAGGGCTTTCCCAGCAAGCCTTTCCTGTTCCCACAGCAACCCCTTCTCCCCATCCCATTCCCCAGGGCCTACTTCTTCAAAGCACACTGCCATGAAACACATTCCACTATTTTCTGTCTTCCTACACTGGACTATAGGCTTAGCGAAGGTAGGAATCTCTGGTTAAGGCAATGTCTCAAACAGGATCAAGCATGCAGCTACCAAATTAAACAAAAACTTGTAATTCTTTAGTCCTGATTATACTATTGTAACATAGCTTATAACCTGGGCCCTAGTGCATATTAAATATAAAACTAATTTGGAAGCTTTTAAATAACTACCAGATTATTTCCAAGTTCCTTGTAGGGAAGGCATGAAGCTCCTGATCCTGTCTGCATTCTCCAATTTCTTGCTTTTTGAGATAGGGTCTGATATAGCCCAGTCTTGCCTCACTCTGAAGCCAAAGATGATCCTGAAGGTTTGATCCTCCTGTTTCTACTTCTGGAAGCACTGGTTACATAGAGGACTGGCCCACCACACCATTTTGTGAATGTTAGCTATCTTTACCTACATTCCCCAAGTCTCCCAATCTCCAGTCATTATTTTACTTCTTGCTCATAACTAAAGCACCTCACACTCATTTCAACCTGAACTCAAACACTTCCCAGGGCAACACCCAAGTGGGTAGAGACCCCCGATTAGGTTTCCTTATGAAACCTACTATCTTCTACCATATATGGGCTATGAAGCAGAATTCAGACCCCACCTACCCTACAAAAGATGCACGGTAAATTAGTGTATAGTACATCACTGTTTATATTTGCTTTCTGGAAATTTGTCAACTCTATCACTTCTACAACACTACACTGGATCTCTGCATGCATTCACCTTGACTCCATCAGATCCCAATACCCTGGGACCATTCCAAGCATTATTCCACAAGAGGTCTGGACTACCTCTTGCCCTATACTGCCTTCCTGTTTATGGCAGATCCAAGTTTTCGTGGTCTTACCTGACTAAATCTATCAAGTTCCTTTCTAGCACTTAATTATTTTGCAAGTGAAAGATAGGATGTTTTTATTTGCCCAGCATATTTACTATCCTCTTGTGGAAAGCAGAAATAGGACCCAAAGCCAAGAGAAGTCACAAGTCTTGCCACACTAGGGTAAGTTCAGGAAAACTGGCAAGCACTTGACCCCTAGCCAAAGCCATTCAAATCTACAAAGACATTT